TAATCAATTAATTAGTTAGAGATATTTTCAATTATGATTTATGGTAACATTCCCTTAACGAAAGGAAACCCTAGGGATTTGATATTTGTCAAGCTCCTAACCTAACCTATAAATAGCTTATGATAATCCATTCATTATTTTGGATTAGGCATAAATTAGGAAGGAGACATGGAGGAAGGAGGTATGGTGGATTTACATTGATAATATTCCGCTATTTAGTACATATAAGAGTATATTTTGTATAAAATTGGAACTAGAATCGGCTCGAACTATGATAAAAAGAAAAACAAAGGAGGGGGATTGGTTTCCTATTGTACTTCCGGTTCGAACCTTGTACTATTAAGTATAGGAGATCAAATCCAATTACTATCCACATTGAAGAAACTTATGTTTTTTTTCCCTTAAGGAATCAATGGTATGAGATTTTTCTTATAGACTTTATATCATTTTTCTTTTCCTTATTAGCTAATAATAATATGTATACAGAAGTTTTATTTTTCTTCTGTATTCATTACCTTTATTTGTTCCTCGTTCTAAATTCATTATCTTATTTTTCTGTAATCCCCATTTTATAACCAAATGGAAGACTAAAGAAGTCTGAAGTGTGACCAGAATCGACATCAGAACTATCCTTACAAGGAATGATTCTAGCCCAATAGTTAGGGAAGAATTATTAGAATATTTTCAAATCCTGCACTTGGTAGTTGGGGATAGGAATGGTGTGGGGATGGGTGGGAAGGGAAAAAAAAAAAGAAGAAGGAATGATTCTAGTTTCACCTTTTCATGGCACCAAACTTGGCAGTTCGGAAACCATGGTCATGTCCAACTTGGAGTAGGCTACTACCTGTGTTATGTGAAAAATAAATAGATAGGAAAATGAGAGGGAAACATAAAACCATTATCATAGTTATTGGTAAAGGAGGTGGATCAACGGGTTACTGATTCAACCAATTAATAAGTGTTTGAACCGATGAGTCACTAAATATATTTAAATATTATGTCTCATAATTTTTTTAATACAGGGTATATGGTTTAAACTATAATGAACTATACCATAGCAAATGCTTATTTGGCCTAATGCATTGTAGAATGATTAATTCTTATAAGAATCAATATAATTTAAATTTAATTGGTAACCCACCAACTTCAAGTGTATAATATTACTTATATTTAGTGTAATTATTTAGTTTATTTATGAATTTTAAGTGCAAAAGATTATTAGAAATAATATTTGCCTTTAAATGAATTGTATAATATGTTATTTCTGAAATCCATTTCATAACTTATAGAGTGGGGAGTAATAAATTTTATTAAAAGATTCCAACTAAATTTTGTTTTAGAGAAATAAAAGAAAGAACAAAGAAACTATTGACTAATATCTACTATAAGACAGGCTAATAACCAGCATGTGAGTTAGTGGCTTGGCGGCAGGTACTCTTTGGTTACATGCATGAGGTCATGAGTTTGAACCACTATAGCATGTTCTCTAAATTTTTCTAACAGCAACTAATGATCTACCCGGTTCAATTGGCTTGGTTTTTGATTTAATTCGGATGACAAGTTCGGATGAACTACCGGTTCAATGACAAGTCAACAAGTTTTATTCACATCCGATCTAATTAGAGATCCAGCCTAGTCTATTGATCGGCTCACCTTCATCTGGCCGGGTTTTCGATTTAATCTAGATGAACTTTTGATTTATTAACAAGTAAGTTTTGTTCATATCCGATCTGATTAGAGATCTAGCCCAGTCTATTTACCAAATCACCGGATTGATCGATTGAACCAATAGCAAGTAATGTTCTACTCGGTTCAATTGGCTGGGTTTTGGGTTCAATTTGGTTGAACTACCAATTCATTGACAAGCCAATGAGTTTTGTTCGCATCCGATCTAATTAGAGATCTAGCCCGATCTGCTGATCAGTTCATTGGATTGACCTGTTGAATCATCGGATCGGGCCGGGTTTAATAATTATGACTATTACTTTCAATTTCGTTACATAATTTTGATATTGGTGCAAGGTGTTTCCCCTAGATATGTTCTAAACTCTTGGATTTTCTTCCAGGCAATTTGTTGCAATAGGGCTACTCGTCTTCTACAAGAGTTGGATGATGCATTAGAAAAAGCACATATTTGTGGTAACAAAATCAACCAGACACGGATGCTATGAATGCAAAAAGTTGACCTATATTGCCTTGCATATATGAATGTGTTGTTGAATTTCTCCCATAAGACTTCAGGTTTTCCCTTAGTACAACTCTAACATGAAACCCTGAGTTCCTATCTTGATAGTTAAAAAAGTTACGACTCAATATAAAATCTTTGCTGTCTTTCCTTACAATGGTTAAATTTAGATGATCTTTCACGTGCTTCACCTTGATTAACCTGGACCATGCCAAGAAAATCCTGATGAGATGGAGTCCGTAGTTGAGGAAACATGGGATGTTATCAAAAATACATCATCTTCCCTTTTTTGGGAAAATATAGAACCAAATCTGAATTGCAGTTCATTTCTACTAGTTAAGGGTTCAGTAAGTTTTGAAACCTACTTACTTTCCTGACTTGGTACTTGTGAATGGTATCAAAGCTACTGAAATGGTGAACGTCTGTTGTTTATCTTAGTACTCTTACCTACTGATCTCACTGTTGCATGCCAGCATATATCTTGTTTCAACTTCGCCAAAATGATAATACTATTCACTTATCCAAGGAAACAAGTTAAAGCCAATACTGCCGTACTGCAAAAACTGGTAAAGCAATCTAAATTAACACAAGAAAAAAAAATCAAGGATGACAGGCTTATACATTAAACATGTTACAAAGAATTCATAGCCAATTGAACAAAACTCTGAAAACGTCAATATCAATAGTCATGACTCGTTACTACATAACGCATAATAAAAGTACAAATTCCTTAATGATAGTGATTCAAACAGCTTCACAATTTTATTAGCGTCGAATTTATTTATTTTTCCTCAAGAAAGAGGCAGGAAAGATTTAAAATTGCAAATATGAGCTTGTGCAGGTTTTTGCCCTCTAAGCTGTGCATGTGTATTCAAGGGAGAGGCACTGAATAACTTCCAAAACTTACTCCTTACCCTTGAGAGCGTTGGAGAATGAGAACTGGATTCTAGATACCTATTGCAACGCCAAATTGGAAACTAGTGATTAGTCACTTTTACCAGCTCCCTTTTGGAAGATCAACTCTAAAAATAACTCTTCTACCAAGGCACTCAAAGCTGAGATGAGAAAAATTCTCAACAATGAAAAACAACCTAGGAAACCTGACATTGTGGTTTCTATTGAGCTGTGCCAGGCTGAACTGTGAACCCCAAATAATGCAAGGTCTCTTAAAAATCTTAATCCATTTCTCCCGCTTGAAAGAAATCTGCCATATCAAACAACTAATGATCTCCTAAAGTAATTGGGCAGCTAAAGCACTACGGTTGCAATTACCTTGCAGAAGCTGACACATTAGATTTTTGCACTTTTGCATAAATGCAACAGCATATGGTGCCTTCCTAAAGCTATTCGAGCATAACAAAATGGAAAATGCTCTTACAGGAAAAAAAAAGTCATTCAACCACTCCAAACTGACAGATATTCTTAACTAAAATACCAGATTTCTCTTTTTCCTTTTTAACATTACAAGCCTCAATTATGGTTCATCCAATAAACAGAAAGGCTCTTTTAATCAGGACTAACAACTTCTACTGGCTAAACCAGACAGTTTTTTGTCCATATTCATACTAAATCCCTAGTGATAACTGATAACGATTTAAATTAAACAGCAACTTTCAGGTTACTATCTCACTAGTAGGACATTTTTACACATAAAAACACACAGAGTTCTCTTGGCTCTTTCTAAAATTTTTCATAGGTGTGTAGCAATCTCAGAAAGTGCTGTGTTTGGACTGTATTGGATGATATATTCAATTTAAGAGGGAGAGAAAGAGGAGAGTGGACAAGAAAGACTTCTCTGACAGGAGTGGAGCCAAAGTATGCAATTAGGTTGATGGAGTGAGAACTGAGAAGAAAGATCAGAAAAGTTCTAACATACTCTAGGATTTATTTTGGCAAAAAGAAGTCAAATTCTATGCTTAGCACACAAAAGTATATTAATTCTGTAAAATTCTAGAACATCCCAAAGAGCATAGTGGAAATCCTAATACAAACATCAATATTCTGCTAACATACTCAACTATACTTGAATTAACCAGATATACTGCTTCTACTAACTAATGAAACTTGAATAGCAATCCTGCTGTCACAGACCAGCTAATCTTGAGGTAACACATTCTACCGATGGATCGAAAGCTGCCTTATAACCTATTTCATCTATACCCTGCATATGGGACAAAAGGACCAACCCTAAATAGATATACAACTTAGAAAGGTTCTCTAAAGTGTCAAGTATTGGATTTGCGATAGACCAGAAAGCCATTACTAGAACATCTGAAACTTTGTCAGTTTCAGTTCAGACTTCAGAGAGTGCAATGTCGTTTTGTTGCAAAGAATAGGGGTGGACTTCATTCTTTCAGATAAATTGTGCATTCCAAAAAGTTAGCAAGAAAAGCATACAAAAATCTGTAATGAGATCCAAAGCACAGTTACAGCATTGTAGCAGAGTAAGTTAAGTTTCATTTACATTTGCATATGTTTTACTACTATTTACCTTCTCTAATGGCGCATTGAACCCTTGAAGCTACCCCTTTTTTGAGCAAACTTTGAGGTTCTAGCTACTCTAATGTGATCAACAGGATTAACATGATCATGATACTTACTGGAGTTCCTCCTTTTTGAACGAAATGATTCCTCACGAACTCCCACATGTACTCGATGACTATTAGGCCTCAACGCCCTCCTCATATGTTCTTCTCTATAATGTCTTTTCTGACCAGATAGCAATTTTCTTCTTTTTGAGATGTGCTTTGTTGCTTGATTTGTAAAACGCCCTCCATGATCATCTTCATCATCATTAAGATCATCCTCACTCGCAGTTGCTGATGCTTCAATATCTCTTCTTCGCCTTCTCCTTCTCCTGTTGTGCTTGTCAAGCTTGGAACATAAGAAAGTGCAACAAAATTCTAGCACAGAGAACCAGGTAGCACAGCATGCCCATATGCTTCTGCAGATGATATGACAGATGCATTGGCAAATACCCAACTTGTATGACAAGTAGAAGAATACGAGAACTGCACATTAACAAAAGAATTATACAAGTGCTATTCAGTTTAAGAAGAAAAAGGCATCCTTTCAAGGGCTTAACAAATTAATTGAGTTGTAATGGTAAATATGGGGGAAAGCTAACAACTAATTGATAGAGAATCCCAAAAATTTTCTTCAATTAATCTAACAACTACTACTGAAAAGCTAACAACTAATTGATAGAGAATCCCAAAAGTTTTCTTCAATTAATCTATATCTCCCTTAGAGATGAGTTCAAAAGGATTATTATAGGATCCTCACAACGTGAAAGAAATGTACATTGAATCCGAATAGCTTGGGCTCAGAATCCAAGAAATCTTACATGGTGGTTGGAGGTTGGCTGCTTGGTTAAAACAACATCACTGCCTAGGGGGTAGCTGGTTGGCAAGAATTGGTAAAAAAAGAGTGTTTGCATTCCTTCAAAATTCATGCATCAAATTATATGATACAGACTGGTCTGTTCTAGTCATCCTTTCTCCAAATGCTGTCTACCTAGTGAACATGATGCCTCTTCGTTTGGTAGGAAGTAAGAAAGTAATAAAGGATAAGTCATAGAAGCCACACTCATTACTTAAACAGCGTAATGAATCCAAGATTTTTCATTTTCACACCAGATGTTTCTTCTTATGCATTGAAAGGCATAGTATTCCAATCACTACCTTGATTTTGGGATGCATCTCATGTTTATGTAAAAGCACAAACTCTCATCTACAAACTCACATTAAGAAACAAAAATATCAGTGTACATGTTTCGTATTGAACAAAAGAAATTTAGACATAACCGACTATATCATCAATAAAGGAAGAAATTGAAAGACACTATTCTGTCCAAACTTCAATTCTTTTGTTTATTCTGTAAAAAATTTCCTTCCAATTCTCCAACAGCAATACATCCAAGAAAGCTCTTAAAATAGAAAAAAACAATACAACTATGTATATGGTACAAGAATGCATGAATACTTACCAAAGTACAAGAGAACTACGACCAAACCCAACTTCAGCAATTGAGCAATGCAGAAGTTTTCTATATAACACGTGAGATCCCATGTTGGTCCACATTTAGAACTGCACAGAATTTAAGAACAAAAAAGATATTTGTTAGATCATAACTTAATATCTTCAAAATTTGAACACTACATTAAATGATAAAATGAACTGAAATATCAAATGGTCTCGTTCAATTTTACCTGCAAGATTTGCCAGATAGGAAATCAAGTGGATGGCCTAAAAGTTTCCCTAAAACTTCAGAAACTCCACCGAGGACTGAGCCAACTACATTCCCCATCTATACAAATTGAAGCCAAAAAACTTAAGTGACGAACAGCATCGTCAAGTTCATTTTCATACTCTCCCTTATCTTCTTCGAAACCTGCAAAACAATCGTAATGATCAACAATTTTAAACAAAAACTAAAAAAAAAGAACCCAGAAAGGAGAGAGGATCATTGAACCCCCACGTGGTGGTTTTACGGATTTTGGTGAGACATAAGAAACCGGATTTGAAGAGGGCTCCAATGGGGGAAATAAAAGATTTATTCTGGTTTTCTCTTTAGTCTTTGGAAGGTAACTGCTGTTTTGGTTTTTCTCTTGATTCTGTGCCGCGAAAATAAAAGGAAGCCGTTGAGGATTTAAACAGAGTCGTGTCCGTTAGTCCTAGACGTCAAAAACTTGTGTCAACGAGCCCACCTGTTGACCGAACGGTCTAAAGTTTGCCACGTTATCTTGGCAGTTTGAAAATCACTAGTAACAACCCCATGTTTGTACCTTGAAATTGAGAAGGAGAAGAGAAATCTGTGTCCAATAAAAACCATCATCTCTATGCATTGACAGAACTTCAATTTGCATTCTTCTGGAATTCCTAAAACCTAACTACTCTATCCATAGATATATAAAACCTCTTTCCAAATGAAATACTCAATCCATAGGTATAATAGCCACTTTCCACATGAAATTTAAGTTGTGCTGCTTATGATCGTCAGTGATTCATAGTGCATGGCCTTCAACATTTCTTTATCAAGAAATCAGCATAACAACTGATTATACTACTCTTGAATTTCTTTTTAGATATTTCTTCCTCTTCTTATGACCATGCCAATGCTCGAATTGAATTCTTCTACTTCTCAATAAAAGAGATGTTTTAGTTTTCTTTATTTTTCCATCCTTGTTTCACTTTTTCTTTACTTTTTGTATGAGAAATGCTTGAGCCTAAACAGAATTTCAATCCTGTTAAATGGATCTGGATCTGGATTAAAGGGATCCAACCCAGACCCTACCCATTGACATGCCTACTGTTATTTGAACTTCATTTTTTTTTTTGTTATTTTGTTTTCGAATATTTCAAATTTCAACTTAGTTCCCAAGATTTTGGTGATGCGAACTACAAAACCCATTTTGGAGTGAAATATATCATTACAGCCCTAATTGATCACTCACAACAAAAGCATCCAAATTTTTTAATTCAATTATGTTTCTTTCATCAACATTGTTTTCTCTTAAATTTAACAAATTACTTCACCATGAAAAGTTAATCCTCACATTCGCAACACTTGCAAATATACTCCCAAAACTACAAAAGGTAAAAATACTAAAACAAATAACTACAGATATATATCATATATACAAAGATCCACCATGAATGGGGAGGAAAAAAAATGAAGAAAAAGAGTACCTGATTCAGCCAAAAAATCATGCCTAATAGCTGCCTAACATTAACAGTCACGATACTTACATTTTACATCTTTTTTTCCCCCCTTCCGTTTAAATCTGTTAAGCTTTTTGATTCGATATTTGTTTGTTTTCTCTTGTAAACTTTCTTTTTCTTTTTAAATAAAACTTCCAGATTTGGATAAATAGATACTCCCTACTGTTAAAGACTTTGCAGTTGCAACGGCTCTGAAGAGTCCTATTAGATTTAAACTAAACTGTCTGTTTTCAATTCAACTGCTTTTTTTTTTTTTTTTCAACTGCTTAACTAGGCCAAGTTGCTAGTTTGACCTAAAAAGGAAGAACCAATGAAGAAATCAACTAGTTGCTGTTCAACTTGTAAAATTCAGAAACAACCCATGGCTTTTGAGAATTTACAAAGTAGCAATTACTGGACCACAAGGCTATTTTGTGTTTAGTTGACCCGTGACTTGAATTAGTTTTAATTAGATATGACCGTTAGAAGACAAGCACAAATGTATTGGATTACAATGATTCATTTGGATGAAAGATATATAAGAGTATCAATGTTATCTTTATTTGTATTGATTTCTTAGATCTGTTATATCTATTGATTTCAAATCTATATATATTTGTGTCATGTTTGTTTGATGTATTTTTTGCCATTAATGCAAATTTATTGAATGAAATGATCTTTTCTATTAAAAAAAACGTATTAGTAAAAACAAAAAAGTCAAAAGCTCAATCGAGACTGTTGAGAAAGCGTACATTCATTTAATATCTATTTGAGAAAAAAGAAATTTTAGGAGGAAAAAATATAAAACTAAGAAGCTTGATAAACTCACATGCCAATCTAAAACTTGTAGTTTTCGATGTAGATTTATAATTAAAAATGACCAAAAGATACACTGGAAAAATAAAAAATGTATCTATAGAAAAAGAGGTTATACTTACATTAATGGACAACAATGACAGTGTATACACTTCTACTGTTGGATGTATGACAAATAATATAAATTTAAATTTAAAATCAAAATTTTGACATATACATTAGAGTAAATTTTATATATTACCAGTGTATACATTATCACGGTTGGATGGATGACATTTGAATTTCAAATTCAAATTTTGTACATGTATCATATATCTAATGGTAATCGTGTATATACTGATAGTGTATATAAGATTAATCCTATGCATTATATATCCAACTTTGATAATGTATATAAGCTCAACTTATTTAATTTAATATATGTAGCAAAAAAGACTGAGCAACTTTGAAATTCTCACTTGCACGGCAGTGTATCCTACATGACCAATTCCAACTAATACTTATCAGTGTTAGATAATGTATCCTATGCTCTATATATACACACCGGTGGATTAAGCTTAGATCTCGACAATACCTTCATCTCAAACAAAATTAAACAGCAAGAGACTGCAAATTCTGCTCCATTCTTTCCTGCTATATAATAGAAATGGCTGAGAGAAGGAACGATCAACAAGTTCATCCCTTGCCTCAAAGTTATAACACAGCTTTTAATGTTAAGCGTGACCAAGAGTCCGCTTCCGGTGACTCGGACGAGATTCGTCGCAAGAAGCGTCTCAAGTACCTTGCATACTTTGCCGCCTTTGTTGTGTTTCAAACTGGCATCATTGTGTTGTTTTCTCTGACGGTAATGAAAATAAGAACTCCTAAATTTCGGGTACGATCATCGACTTTCGAGACTTTTGATGTTGGTACGACTACAAATCCTTCATTTAATTACAGGATGAATGCTGAGCTTCACGTGAGAAACAACAATTTTGGAACTTATAAGTTCCAAAACAGCACAATATATTTCCTACAATGGCACACCAATTGGGGAGACCTTGGTTCCTAATAGCAAAGCAGGATGGCTGTCGACTAAGAAGCTCAATGTTGTGGTGGACCTCTCGTCAAGCAATTTGCCTAGCAATTCACAACTAGGAAACGATCTCGACACTGGAGTTTTGAAATTCAATGCTCAATCCAAATTGAGTGGAAAGGTGACTTTGACGTTTATGTTCAAGAAGAAGAAATCCACAAACATGGACTGCATCATTACTATTGATTTGGCTCATAGAGCAGTTCGAGATATTAATTGCATTTGAGATTAGAACCTATATGGATGATCCACCATACTCTACTTTTATCTTGAAATTGTATTCATGCTTTTCCTCTTAAAGATTGTTCACTATTTTTACCTGCCTTTGATTTCAGGATTTTGTAGTTTCTTTTCCGAAGCTTTTGGGGGGCTTTGTTACCAAAATTGTTTTGTTTGTGACTTTTGGGCTGGTTCTTGATGTACATGTTTTTGGGCCTGTCTTGCTTGATGTAGAGTTTGCTAAAGTTGATTATGAAAAGTGATTATAAAAAAAATAAATTAAAATTATTCTTGAGTAGGTTATAGATTTTAACTTTCGTAATTTTTAAAACCCAAACTTTAGATGCAAAAGGAAACAAGAATTACACCAAAGAAATCAATTATTCAAATCAAAATCTAAAATCAAGTATTATAACAAAAAGACAAACCCTTATGTTACCGATAATATTCCTATTATAAACGAGGCTTTTGTGTATATGCCTCAACCATTTTGCGCTTCTATGAAAACGGAAACGAAAACGAAAACGAAAACGAGGCTGTTGTAGGCAAAGCATTTTAAATTATTTTGAATTTTGACTTTATTTGCTAAACAAGATAATTCAATTAAGCAAAACTGTAGATCTATTCATCTGCAAATCATTCATACGAAATTCTTTGTGAAATCCAAATCTGTAAATCCGAAATGGTCAGCGAATTGATGGATCTTTTTGACATTAGACATGCCAATTGACAAACAGAATTTCTTTCTTTTTGAAAAATAAAAAAGGAAAGGGAGAAATTTTTTTTTTTTTGAGTCCGAAAAGGGAGAATTGAAGAAATTTTTTTTGAAATTATGCTTTCATCAATGTGCCCTAGCCAATGGAGCTAGAGGTGTAGGGACATGGGGCAACCGCTAAAGCATTGACCCCTACACTTGGAAAAGCAAAAGAATATACATACATACATACATACATATATATATATATATATATCTAATGTTATATTATATTCTATGACATTATACTTTATATTATATTAAAAGTGATAGGTTAATTTTATGATTTAGGTTTTTTTAATAATATCCTTGACCTAAATAATTCATACTTGTTATAATTCCTCAATTTATTTCCATTTTAGCTTTTTGTTTAAAGGTATTTATGTAACATCAATGTAGAGGTCTTACATTAGGAGAAAAAAAAAACGTAATCGTATGTGCCAATAAATGTATACTTTGTCCCTTCAAAGTGTGTTAACTTATTGCACTATGCCTTTCCAAATGTTTAATTCTCAACTAGCTCCCATATTGTAATCTTGGCTTTGCCAACTAACCTTTTTTTTTCTTTTCCGATTCAGAAATCAAACTAAAATTGACGAATTTTACCATAATATTCCTTGACATCAAGAATTAATCTACCACAAAAGCAATTTTAATTGCCTCCTAATTGATACTTGTGTTCTTCTTGAGTAATTTTCTATTTTTCTAAATTATATTATCTTTCTAATATACACTACGACCAAGAAAACACATCTGGATTTTCAATAAATTCCCAAATTTATTAGAAAAACTATATATGATGTTAACTAGTATTAAGGCTCTCATTACTAAGCCTAAGTCACTTAGTTATGCTTTCGTTCAGTCAATGACTGCAACAGGTAATGCATATTACACTTGCGCCAACTATTTTCACTGAAATAAATAAATAAATACTGGAAAGAACTGACCCATTCTATCAATTAAAGAAAAACCGAAGGAAAGCTGACTTATTAGCCGTTGTACGGCTGCAAATCGGGGCAATGGTCAAATTTAAGCGAACAGTCAATTTTTAGAGAAAGCAA